ACGATGTCAGATTGGCATATTTCAGCCTCAGCGACCAAGCACAGATAGATATGTCAGAAAAAAATGGACAACGAAAGATTAACCTTTTGCGATTTTAACTAAAACTAGAGGACGTTTATGTTTTATCGTCTCTTGTAACATTTTTCACGGAATAGAGTTGATAAGAGCATCATTGCGTAAAATTCTTTTCACCTTAGCAAATTAAAATACTTATTTAGCAACACAGAGTTTGCATCTTTCATAGAAGAAAGTAACTGGATATGCATACAATCCGGTCAACTCTAAAACCGCTCAGTCCTAGAAAAGTCGAACACCAGATAACTTCAGCAATACTGAATACTGCACTATAATCATTAACGAAGTTGATTTCAGTTGGATGACGTTCCATGTGGTAAAGCCATCAAATTCCTTTGTTAGTGCCGTGAAGCTAACTAATGCATTTCTCGCTATGAAAAATGTTATGACCTAGACTTGAAATTTCTTTCGGGGTGACTTTGAACAACCAGCCATTTTCTCCCCTAACGCACTGCGAACGTTGACTGTTTTAATTCTTGCTAAACTCTTATCGTCCGCTCAGACGCTCCGCGGTATTTGAATTGCTTTTTGAAACTCATTCAAGTGACTTTCGACCCTACCGGGCGTGTTAAAAATGAATTCGAAGAAACTGGATTAAGAAAATCATTTCGGGCACATTTTATGTGCCCGAAATATTTTTTATCTTTCATTGACTGCTTTGGTAATTTAATATGGCTTATCTTGAGATAAAAGAGAAAAGGGTTGAATGAGTTTCTCAGAAATAAAACAAGCTAGCGTGTAAACTTATAAGCGTATCATTAATATCGGTCGACGAATTGGTGGATGCTATGATATGAAATCGTAATTGTATGTTTTGCTTATACTCTTAAAATGAGTTTTCTGAGGTATAAAGCGAAACATTTTTTTTATAGTGGGCTACCCTATTGAATAGACTCATTAATATTAAACCCGACCAAATACACACTGAAAATCACACCGGTATAAACTATAAACGAGAAAAACCTTTGAAGCGGTTGAAAGTAAGTTTTTTAGCGAAATATTGAATGCATCCATAATAGAGGGAGGTACACTTGAATTATTTTTTGATAACACTAGTTTAGTATAATTAGAAACGGCTAAATTTACCAAATTAGTTTCTTTTACGATGGATGTGAAAGACATGGGCCTCTTGCTTGCTTAGTTTAACATATTAATTACTGCATTTCTGTGTTTATTAAATGTTTTCACTAGGCGAGCTCAACTGGATTGACTGCTGTCGCAAGTTAACGCAAAAATAAATCACAAATAATGTATTATAAGCTTTTCGTATTTATTTATGTTTATAATTAAGGCTAATATAATTAATTTGTAATACTAGATATGTAAAGATAACAAAGTACGTGCCATAGCGTTGAGCATATATATATATATATATATACTCGTTCCTATTGGCTTCCGTAAAATGATATTGTCACTAAGCAATATGAACTACATAAATTACTTGAAATAAAAAATCAAAGTAAAATAACACTATATTTATATATATTTAAACAAACTGCCCTATATAGGATAAATTAAGATGGCAAATCTACAAACAGGTCAATACATTTTTTTAGATCCAGTTGCCACGATAATTAATATTCTATTGATTTCAGCTTAGAATTGAACGCTAAGATCCCCTTGCTTAAGTCATATGTGCAGTTTGGCACTGTAGCTGTGTATCTTCGTTGTAGTTTAGTGAAAATAATGTTCAATTTGTTTCAGGACATCCTGAGGAGATTCATTGGCTGCACATGCAGCGAGCTCTTTTACCTCGTTTTTAAGCCCAGAAGATCGTTTTAAAGCCACCGTGCTGTCCGTTTACTTATTTTTGTCTTCTTTTCTGGTTTTAACTATTCATATTCGGTTTATCAAGCTGAAATATATCTCATAACACAATGAGGTAAAGCATGCAGTGGAGAGTAAACAAAACGTGGCTACATGAATTTGGATTCTCATGACTAGGAAAGGCTCAATATGTTGTCACTTGCGTGTATTTTCTGCTGTAACAACTATAAAATAAAAACCCTTAAGCTGCCAAGACTTTTTTCAAACTGTATAGAGTTTTGCGTTACCTTATATAAATCTTTAAAACGCTGCATGACTCGTTGTAGTCGAGAGTCGACGATTCATAGATGCTGATGTAATAGGAACTTTGCCACAACTACCATAAAATGCTTCTGTATAAGTATCGATGATGTATTCTACATGTTGGATATCTTACTCTTGAACCGTTGAAGTTTAGAGTAATTTATTAGTTATCCTATAATTAATGTTATAGAAATAATCTCACACAAATGTTGGTTAATTTTTACTCGTGCTACTGTGCTATTATTGCTATTACATGCCGCTAAGTATCCAAATACAGTAATAAAAGATACACACTCGTACAGGCTGGGGAATTCAAATTCGGGCAAACTTCGCCAAAAATTGCTGTCACAGCGAATATAGGTTAATTTTTCATTCTTGGTATCGAAAGAAGTCGTTTTTTAGAATGAAACGACAAGCTCGTCGTGGCAAAAAAACATGTTTTCAGAATTTGAGTAGAAATCGCCTATTATGGAACGTTTTTATGTGAGACGAATTTCGATCACTTTTTAAAAATATTTTAGGTATTTCTTTAGGTGTTTAGTTTTAGGTTACCCCAGATCGGCAGTTTATGGCATCGCAAATATGTTTGTGGCAGCAAAAGAAGAGGAAGCAGGGAGGCATCGTCGGCATCGCAAATATGTTTGTGGTAGCAAAAGAAGAGGAAGCAGGGAGGCATCGTCGGCATCGCATAGCGTAAAACTCGCGGCTAAAAAAACTGTGTCCGACGGTTATCGATGCCACCTAAAAATGCATTCCTGATATCTTTCTGTTTTGATTAGGGCATTAGTGAGAAAATTTGGTTTGAATGGGTGTGACATGTCAATCTATATATAGCTCGACAATAATACAAGCCATTTTGGGTGCTATCGTTTTATAAAATCAAGGTATTGGTTGAATAATTAACACGCGTGCCAACGTTAGTGTATTGTTATTATACCTGGTGGCACCAAGGGCGAATCGTCGAAGCCAAGTACCTATAAATTTGAGGATGGACGAAGTAGCTGACCAGTACTAAGGTGACTGATGGATAGCTCAATCTGGCACTACCATTAGGTGTGAAGGTGCGTGCGCGCCTGCATCTTCAACGCGATCCCTAGGGTCGATAAAAACATTTTGGCTTGAGGAATATAGAGCAGGCGCCATAAAATTACATTGGAGGTGATCGCATGATGTCGTTGCCTAACAAACGCTAAACGAATGTTAACCAGGAACCACAGCCTGAGAGATTGACAAGAACGCAAGAGGGTGGATTCATACATATATGCTGGAAAACACCTTGTTAAGCAAAGAATTACGTGTTATATCGTCAATTTAGCCAAGCAACTTTGTTCCTTTTGCCTTTCAGTGTTTATATCATCCATGTCACATCGCGTTAATCGGAATGTATAAATATAATTATTAAATTCAGGCATCGAAAGTTCACTTCCTAGCCCTAGTCTCTTGGGGCATGCTATTTAATGATTGTACTTAAAAGACTTGAAGGACTTCTTCACATATTACAAACCATTCAAGGCTTTGAAAATCTTGGGGTACACACAAATCGAAATTATTGACCAAACTTATCGCTTGGTTAACAGATCCTGATATGAAGCGTCTTTTTGGTGACCCTGAATAAACTTTTGTGTCACAGTTGTGTAAAAGCATGACCCAATAACGCACATTATTATTTCTATTTGATAATAGTTCCGTTAAACAATTTGTGTTACTCATTAACCGCGTTTGAGCACTGCAGAAATATTTGCGTCTCAAAATTACGAAACTCGCGTGATATATTGGTAAAGTAATGTATAATGCATGTAAATGAACGGTCAATTGGTGTATTAATATAACGGAATCACAAGAAAATGATACTTTCTGATCGTTTTTTGGAGCTTTTTTATATATTGTTTTCTATATTCCGATGAGAATTTCACTTTTCCTGGTTCTTCAGTCAATAAATGAATAATACTATAAAAATGTCACGTGCTGCTTTTTATTTTAATATTTTGCCTAATTTTTCACGAGCGTCACCAATAGTTATTGTCATTATAAATTGTACAAAAAACATCCTTGCTTGCCATTCAGCATAACTTGATAATTCAATTTTATATTTAACCTTTGTGCAATGTTACTTTTAAGGAATAGAGTCGGGAACTTTGCATTTACAACAAAAGCGTAACTGAAGTGAAATGGTGTCGCAGCGACATTGAGGAGAGACATTGAGAGCTGTTAAATGGTCATAAAGTGTAGGCCGCAGACTATGTGACATCTGCGGGCTCCTTCATCGTAGATATCGGAACCTAAGGATGACGTTTACTGACTCATTTATTCAATCTTTGCATGATATGTTCTGTCTCATAGACATGTGTAGACTCATCATTATGCAACTAAAAACTTTTGTTCGCCCAGCTGCCATCCCTTCTCACCTTCGATATTTAACTTGCCAAATTTAATCTCGGATGTAGTCGGATGATTTTTTTTTAGTTTAGGTTTTTGGTAGTAAACATGCAACATTAATTCTTAGGATACGTTAAAGTCAAATGTTCTATTCCTAAACGCTTGTCAGGAAAAACTGAAATTACAAAACACAAAAAACAGACCGATGCTAAAAAGAATGATAATGATGTCTTTCTTACTTACGAAACTGATCTGTAAAAAAACGCATGCAAGTGTTAAATAAACCTGAAACGCTAGACCTGTCGGCTCACATCTCCTCGTGAAGGCATCCAAACCGTGACTTAAATTCAAATACCCAGTGAATATCTACTAAGCTATGATTAATAAGAGCATCAGTAGAAGCGAAAGTGATAAAAAAAATCAGTGAACAGAGAGGACTGAACTAGCTATATGTAAATAAAAATCCAACACTTAATTGCAAGAGGTGTTATGGTTTTATTTACCTTACTCACAACGACCGTAACCGACATGCTGCTAGCACGCATGATAATATACCAATACGAGATCTGATCCAAAAACTATGTTGTTGGAATGACGCTTCCTTGGACACTGTCGACTTCGAACAGTGGACATTTCAGTCGCCTACGTCTGATTCTGAACCTATATCGTCAGCGTCATTATTTGTACTGAAATATATAAGCATAAATCGGCTTTCCATTCAGAATTTCCGCGGCCGCAGCAATCCATGTTGGTTATTGGCGTTTATTTTTCAGCGAAACCACTGTTCATTACTCGTCACTGACGGATCCGTCTTCGCGTGACGATGCGGACCCCGCAGTACGGCGTTCCACGCGATGAGCATTTGGATCTTCGCCGTCGCTATCTCGTGATCCCGTGTTATTGTTGTGGCTGATGTTGTCATCATCTTCAGACTTTGACCTGCTGATGCTGTTTTTGATGTCGTCCTTAAGTCGGTTTTCCTTGTTCTTGTTACGAGTCCTGCGATGACTGTTATTTCCTGCACCATCGGCGGCGTTGCGGCGGGGCTTTTTCTTCTCCTTCAAGTAGCTTTGGTAGTCTTCGACTTCCTACGAGTGTTCGAAAAATTATACAGTTTAGATTGAGCTATTAAGCATCTGTATTCTGCGTACTGTTATCTAATAATCGTCATGTCTTCCTCTGACATGACAACAGTATTGATGTTAACATCAAAGCAGCTGTTTCTGCTTTCTTCCATCGAGCGGCTCATACCATCAAAGGTAATATAAAAGAACCCATACTGTAGAGTACTACAGATTCAAACCATATAACAAAACGGAACGTCAGATTATGCCACATACCACTATAGTTAAGAAAGCACGCTACACACGCTTGAACCCCGTTGTAGTTGGGGTTAATACACAGATGTAAAAAGCTACACTTGTACGTCACTATTTTTCACTGATTCACACTGATTTCAGCCAAACATTCTTAGCAAATTCATTTCCGTGTATAGTTTACATTCAATAAAAAGGTAGGTATGCAATATTAACATACAAACCTTACGAAGACTGTCCACAGCTTTTCGCTGTTCGTCACGGATATGCGAAAAGATGCCGCTGCGGTGCTCTTTCACAACAGCACAGAGACGTTGATGGTCCTGTTGGGAAAGCAACTTCTTTAATTGGTCCTCAGTGCGTGCCAACTGTTTCGTAAGTTGTGCCCTACGTAGCATGTGATACTGCTGATCGTGACACATAAGACGATACGAGCATTCATCGAGCATGCGAACTGCTTCTCTCGTATTCCGTATAGAAGAGTTGATCTACGAAACAAATACACACAACACATTTGCAACATCTCGCTGTTACCATTAGAATATTGTTGGTTTAGTAACATCTGAAAAAACGTTGGTATGTATGTCACGCAAGTTAAGCATCGACTTAAGTTGATTTCCGCGTTTTTTGAAGTTTTTTTCTGCACTTTTCCTCATGGGTTGTTTACTTTGAATACACCGTTGGAAAACGATTGTCCTGTTCCAACAGCATGTTGTAACGGTATAGTGTAGTGAGTGCGTAACTCGTTAAAGATGAATGTTCTTCAAATGTATTGTCGACAGCTTCTGAGCCGTACAGTTCGTCGAGGCTAAAACGCTGTCGAAACAGTAACACATTTGCCTTTTGTATGATAATAGCTTTATCGAAAGACCTCAAGTGCTTTTGTCAAGTTTGAAAACAATATCCGAAATCTAAAGAATATCTCCCACTCTTATCGACGATCTAAGTTTGATGACGACTATCTGAAAGCACTTTTGAAAGGTCACGGTCGATAAGCTCACTTTTTAGCTGAAAAAATTGGTTACAGCCACACGACCGTCACCAACCATCTCAAATCCCTGGATTTACAGAAACTTTGGACTCCGACGAAGCAATTACGGCTTAACGCTGCATCAACATCTTGCCTCATATCAGGCGTCGCGCGGTCACAATGACCGATTTTTGCATCTAATTGTCACCGGTAATGCAAGGTGTGTGTCCGTCAACCAGAACCAGAGATCAGAACAGGTGGCTTTAGGAAGAATCCAAGATTCCAACCAGAACTTCAATTAACAAATATGCTTTGTGTTCACCTGATGATTGACTTAATATTCCTATGACCTGGGTAGTAGATTAGTACGTTATTTAGCCCTGAGTCCATCAGACTATTCAAAAGAGAAGACCCGACAGACAAGGTCAAATCATCCTGCTCCATGACAACGCAAGGCCACTAATGGCCGACGCTGTGAAATCCGCCTTTCTAGACTTCGAATTGTTTCATTGACCCTCCATATTTTCGGGACCTTGAACCCATAGATTTCCCGCCGAAGGATTTTTTCCTTTTACTGAGCAATCACCTTTATGGCTGTTCTTTCGACACGAATCGAGAACCCGAAAGTGGTTGAAGGACTTCAAGATAATCTTCTGGCGGGATGGCCTGCATCATTTGGGTGGGAAAATGGGAGAAACAAAAAATAAAATTGTCACAGGAATAAAGAATGTCGTTATTTCTATTCAGTAGAAAACCAGCGGAGGCTTAATATCCAACCTAATAAATTCAGAATTATTGGATGTTATACTTCTGCGTGACACTTATCCAACTATCCTATGTAATCTCACTGAGCTAATCTAGATAAATTCACAAAACTGTAGGAAAGTAATCATTCCTACGTCAAAAGCTATTTCAATATTGCCAACACTTCAAACCACTTTTTTTAGGTTCTCATTTCAAGCCACCAAATCATCAATAGACCAGGTATTCTAATGACAGTGTTAGCTAAATGACATCTTTTTTTTCACTTAATTCTTAGAAAATTTTAGAGTGACATGGAGAAAAATAAGTACTGTTTTTAGGACATTCATTGGTGCATTAGATTTTACTTTTAGCATACTAACTATACGATCATAAAATCATTGTAGCATGCTAATCATTGGAAATTATTTTACATGCAAAACCGAAAATATGATATTCACGGTGTGCAGCCCACAACGCATCAAACCTCTTCTTGAGTGAACAGATAAAATATGTTTTCATAAAAACACAAATGAACTATAAAAATAATGAGGGAAAATATTTCGAAATAACACAGATATAGGACGAATGGAAAAACGCTTACCATCCAATATTCCTTCGGAATGATACCGAGATGTCGGCAACGACGTAGATAGTTGATATTGTTAACTATTTCTGCATTCAGTTCCATCTCATCAATGTAACGTGCCACCATCGCCATCACCTTTTCATTGTAGTGACTGCGTAATTGCTTTCGAAGGTTCTTAAGTGAAGGTAAGTTCTGATGACCATGGTTGTTTTCTCCTCCATGAGACGACTGGCCACCACGGCCTCCGCTACGCCGCGAGCTCACTGACATTGTTGACGCTACAGAACCGCTTCGTAGTCTCGGAGCAGAATGTGACCGAGGTCGTGAATCATAGGATGTGCCTACCCATCGAACAATACGAACAACGTGGTCGTTATTCAACCAAGGAAAAGTATTGAGCTAGTTTACATCTACATATATTTACAAAGCAATGTTATTGGAAACATCGATCTTCAATATTGTTAACATTCGAAAAAATACGTGTCAATGAGATCTCTTATTATTTCGCGATAAACTTCGTGATTCTTCAAATTCCATTACAACGACGTATATGCTAACCGATTTATATATAGTAACAAAATAGACGAACAAATAGTTCGACACAAACGAAGCAACGAGTACTTACAATTGTCAACTTATGCAAACTGACCTTGGGTGGAAGCTAAGCTTTAATATATTGACAAAACTAGAATGTCTGCTAATGAAGTAGAAAAATCGAATTTGTAGATTGTGATAATTCTTAAAATGAATAGCTTGAATACACACGTGTTATGCTGTGGCCGACCCATCGTACAATCGTGGTGCAAGTTGCCCTCTCTTGCAGTTATAAACTACCAGTTCACTTCCGTACTTACTGCGATAGCGACGCCCACGTCGGGCACGACTCTCGCGCTCACTCCCACGGTGATTAACATCGCGTTCACGTCCTGATTTTCTACCCATGAGTTGCTGCTCTATCTCGCACACTCCAAGCACCGGCATCGCTCCGAGATATTATATTCTTTCAGTTACGTACAAGTCTCCACGAGGTGTTACCGCAGCGATTGCCTGCTTACGAATGAGTGTGACGACTTCGCGCATACATTAAGCAGACGATAGATGATTACTCGTTAGCCAACAGATATGACTTAGGCATAGATAAGTAGATAGAGGGCGCTGATCGCTGCGTCTTGGCACGTGGTAATATTTCCGGTGTTAGTGACTCTTTGTTATTGTTGTTAGCACCTCATATGTCACTTTCGTCGTTGTCGTCATGCCTTCTTTATTGCTTTGTTGCGCGTATGTTTTTACGGATGATGAAGATAAGCGTTAGGCATATTAGATTACAATAGTCCGCAGCTGGTAAGCGTACTTACCTTGCGGGTTAAGATCAAGGCAAAAAACTGCTAAGACATCGAGAGACCTACCGTACAGTTTTCCCTTGTTCACATTTTATACATTTACGTGAATAGAAATTATAGATATCTATATACTCTTTACAAACGTATGTAGAAATTAAGTCCAAATAATCTGGCGAATCATAGGAGGGAAATAAACGAAATAGGAATGCAATTAAATTACCGTACTTAGCGTTTAAATAAATAACGCACCTTGTATAGATAGCGCTTTTTAACTGTTTATTGAAATACAAAAAAATGACAAGTGAGTGCGGCGAATTTCTTATTTTACTTGTCATCCTTGCGCTCTTTTTCTGCGTTATGGAAGCGCTGCGATACTTTTTTAGATCGATAGATCTCTATACAAGCAGATTAAGGATTCGAATTATTAGTCGGCGTTGTAAACCATAACCTTTTCAACAAGCTAATCAACCATGAATCATTAGATTTGTTTAAAAAAATACCGCCCTTATATGTCCGGTTAAAATGGGCACGTGTAATTCAATTGTGAGAGAAAAAAGAGTAGAAGGGATACATTATTCCAAGGTTATATTTTCATCAATTAGGTTTACAGATATTGCCCATTATTTTCCTTAGTTGCATTGTCTCTTAACTTTTTTTTGTTAATTTTGTGGTAAGGGGTGACGTCCCCGCGAATGAGAGCGTTAATCTGCATGACTAGTGTCTATAGACTAATACATTTACCGTAGTATATGTTATATAATTCAATAGTTCTTCAATACCGAAGAAGTCATTTTTATTTAATTTTGGTTGATCAAACGGACCTATTCAGTTACAAATAGTCCATAATATTAAAATGGACTAGTACATATTATGCAAGCAAATAAATGATCCAAACCGTCAAAGCTAATACTAATAACAAAGAGTTAATTTCGATGCTTCAACCTAGGACTCCTGGTCTTGTTCGGAACGATGATATCTCCTTTCATGAAGCTATCCCGGCAGCACCTCTAGAGAGTTACCTTGTGTGTCACTAGCGCTTATTATTACATTGTGCGCAAATAAAGCACTTCCCAAATTCCATATTTGGTCAATCTAGATCCGCTTTTTCTGTTGAAAGATCTTACTATAATCTTAGATATCGCAAAGTGTCGTGCATGGTAGAGTTATTTGCTACAAATACGCAAGAGGCACGCATACTGTGCAGAGTCGTGAAGCGCAGTGTAACGTACTGAATGCACAACAAATGTACGTACTAGTCGATTTCGCAGAAGTTCTGTGTGCAAATATAGTATATGAACGTCTGCACAGGCAACGTCGTTACTCAATCAAACAGCGATGAGTAAATATGAAGCACATATTGCAATACGTAACAAGGATTTGAAACTATAATTGATGTATTATTGATTATCGTGTTGCGGGTATATGTATCAACTTGAACCAAATGGCCTGAGCCAAGGCTCAGAAGCTCATACTTTTATTAAATATAACTATAACAGCTATTATCTAATGATATTTCGTAAAGTCGAGCATTTGTTTATTTACGTAAAAGGTCCACTCGTTGTTGAGATATAATTCATTGTCGTCCTCAATTATGACTAATTTCTGAAAATCGGTGGAAATGGATGAAAGCAAGTTCTGTAGGTCATACCATAAAAAGCCTCTATATTCACTTATACCACTATAAACAAACTCTTTTTTTGCTTTGATGGAGTCATGGCCAGGCGTGGCGGCCGAGCAAGTTGTATTATATTCAAAATTGATTTCTTACATTGCCAATAATATGAAATCCGCGCTTTAGCAAAATATAATCGTTACAATCCATGCAGCCGCCTTGATCTTGGTTGTAGCTAATTTGCTTAAACGGAGTATTGTTTTGATTATTTTAGAAAGCAGGTCAGATATGTCGTAATAGCTTTGTGCTTTATCAAGATTCACGAAAGAGCGAAATATTCGGGTCCGATCACTTCAATCTTACGCGAAGCTATTCTTTAATACGAATCTTTGACATGGCTGGTAATACAGTGTGGCTACAACACTCTCATCATAAATACATGGTTCCCGTGGTAGTTTAGTGGGTACTGTATTTGGCTGTAACATTAGGGATATATGGTGGTACTGATTGAATCTAAGCATAAGACAGTATTTCGTGATAGGAGCCAGCCGTCTGTCAGAATGCATAATGGTAGTGCCGGACGTAGAATACGAAACATCCAGCCATTAAAGAACGCCAAATGGTTAAACAACGCTTTTAACGTAGATTGTGTTAAAATTCCGCAGTCTTAATCACTCTTGTTATGGCATGTCTGTCAAAAATATTTAACAAAACTTTGAGGCCATTTTTTTGCAATAAGCGATTGTAGAATACGGAGAAAAATCACTTAACATTACATTCAGTTTCACATAAGGCGCCTGAACAATTAAGCATAAATAAATAATTATGGTGGCAATTCCTTATTTATTAATATCGAGGAAACCGCTTGCCATATGTGACTTTGCTGGATTTGTAAACTCTGCCACAATTGCCGGTCCAATTAAAATTAAAAATAAAAAAATAGTGGTGAATACTAAGGATGTATGTATACAGGGGGATGGAAACTTGGCCGTTAATGGTGCAAATTATAAAATATCTAAAACCAATATTGAACGGTCTAGTACAGATACACGCTTACTAGGAAAACCGGAAAAAAAACGAATTAAGAATGAAGAAGACTATTAGGCAAATAATCAAAGAAGGTTCTGTGTCGGGTCGAATTGATATTGAGACGGATAGATCCGTACAAATATAATCAAAAATGAATTTTACAGTCCTTGCTTATTCACGAGTTTAAAAATCAAAAAATTTTCCTGTCTTCCTCTTCAATTTGCCTAACATTTAATCGGAAAAATCCTAGGCACATTATCTAAAGATGAACATAATTTATATACAAGCCTACTTTCAGATGGTGTAAATTTGGAAATTTCTTATTGATTCTTGAAAAAAATATGTTATAACTTATTTTCCACTATTGCCTGCTATCAGCCCCTAAAGGCCCTATTGAAAAAATTCAGGCACTGCAGAAGTCTGCAGAAGTTTCTTACGTTATTTTCATGCAGTTCTAACATGTCTTCTAGGCTTATTATTCTGAATGATAAAGATGCCTTCGGGGCGCTGCAGTCGGTTATTTCTTTTGTGGCTTGGGTGCTAGGGACGACAGCTCAGACCTGCTGTTTTTCAATATATGATTGAACTATTTTTATAAAAATAGTTTATTAACTGAAAGGGTTTTGATTGACTGTGAGAGACGTTTATCGCATGCGTGAGGTGTTTCATTGCTGTAATTCCCGTGAAATCTCTCGTTCCTATGATATGAAAGTCAATGATAAAAGTTCATTGATTCGTTCCTGATAGATCCTTCCTTATAGCAATGATCGCACTTTATGCAACTGGAACGTTACCTCTTTTTTATAATGTAAGTAGTAAAATATGTAAGCTTAATAAGATTCAAATTTTGTATTTCTTGGAGCCAGACTTTACTATACATTTGGCTGATAATAATACGAGGCTTATATCTTGTTATCCAGTCGGAAAATGTTCGTATAAGACATTGTGGTCTATAAGTGTTAGATACAGTGTTTTTCAAGTTTTTGCAACCCATAATGAAAATATATGATAATCTTCAATAAGAAGGCTGTGTTTAAAAACCTATTTCTTACTAGCAGTCTATTAGAACAGATAGCTTTATATAATTTCTACGGTACCTCATGTACGTACAGTGCAAGTTAACGCCGTACAATGATCAATCAAGCAGCCCTTACATTATTTATTTTAATTTGGAAGGGCCTTTGGAATGCCTGACGCTATGTCTCTGACAGCCAACGGTGCCATCCAATGTGCGACTCGAAAACTCATTCAACCAGGCTTTGTACTTCTATTATGCCAAGCGTAAGCATTGCGCGAGTATTACTTCGATGAACAACTTTAGGGTACCATAAAGACTCTACTTAGATTACAGAATACAACCTGAGAACGGCCGGCCTTTTCCGGATCTTTTCACAGGGTTAAGGACTTCATGAGTAAATGAATACTTATATGAATACTTATATGAACATTGAGTCACTAATTGTTCTACATAGATTTTAAACTCCCTACTCATAACCACAAGTACAGGTATCAGACGTATAGCGGGCTCAATTAATTAAATACAGGAATTTGCTGGTCGCGCACCCGCTTGGTCCGTTTGTTTTTGAAACACTCAAGCTATCTGGACAGCTTACAACAAACATAATCTTCAGAAATATATAAAAGCTTCGTGGTAAATACAGGCGATATGATCCCTTAATACCTCAAGAGTGATGAATGAATGAAGCCATTAAAAAGGTCTTTTATATAGAAAACCGGAAGTCGCATTAGGATCTTCATTCCGGTAATCACTGACTGGATCGATAGGCACATAAAAGAGCCAACATACCTTTT